TTGAGTCCATTGCTAGGGATCAGTATCAGCTTTCATCTTTCACATTCCTACAGTGTAAAGGAAGAGAACAGGTGGGCTGGGGTGAGAAGACATCTTAGGGCATGTTGTAACTTTCTCTAGAATTACCTTTTGCATCCTACGTAACTGAATTATAACTTTGCAAAGTAAAATGCAGTTCACAAAGGCACAAATATGTTCACCAACCAATAGTGGAGAATACTGTTCATTTTTAAAATAATGAATTCTTTGCAAGACAAGGAGACCACACAGAGACAGCACCAAATTTAGCTCCTGACATTTCAGTGCTGCAAATGAGCCCCCAGGCAAGTTGTCTTTCAAAGTTGTTCCATAATTACGTAGTATTAAGCACCATCTGACTCATGGAAATTGTGGAACGGATTATATTTAGTCTGCTGATACTACACTTTCTTCCTCTGCTCTTCTGATCAAAATACTTTTTGTGTGAAAACAAGATCTTATATAGTTTATTTCCACATTAACTTTTACAGTCTGGTTTTATTTCATCCAAATCCAGTATTTGGAGGGCAAAATTTATAATACAAAAATAGGAACGGATTCAATTATACTAGTTAAAATTGAAATTATATAGGTGACAAATCCTGGCCATTCTGGTCATAAACTAATGGTAATGAGTTTAAATCAAGTAAGAAAGTTTGCCTAAAAGTAAAACCATATCTACGTAACTTTCTATTCTTCCTTTTATTGTATGGAATGAAGTATATTTTACCTATTAGGTACCTACTGGTACACTGCATCCTATTTATAAAAATCCAACTGATTTGAACATAATCCTATGCAATTATATTTTCCTTAACTTTTCTTTATCTAACCTACCTTAAAACAATGGCATCTACTGAAATTTTAGGTACCTTGCATTTTCCATGAAAAAAAAAATATAGAAACAAAGTGAGTTGAGATAGATTCCACTAACAAAAGGATGAAAATTTGCAATATGGTGGACTCATAAGTATCCCTAGAAATCATAATAATTGATACTACCTACTGAGGAACAATACTCTAGGGGAGTTACTTAACCAAAAGACACATGATTTGTTACAAGAGCCAGAACAAAATTTACAGCCTATTTTTCTTCCTACCTCATCAAAACACTTCACGTGCCTAGAATGGTAATATATTCACCTATTCCCATTGTGACAGAGTGAACTTTTATTCTATACAAGGAAGGAAAAAATCAGATACTTTCAATTTCCTAAAATACCACTATGCAAAATTTTTCCAATGCTCACATTTTAAAATTACAGAGTAATACAATAAAAACACAATTTGATTCTTAAAGAAATTGCATGCAGTGAAATGAACATAGAAAAGAAAGCACAACTTTCATAGAAACTTAAATTTCTTTATTGGTTTTATTAGCCATGAGAAAGCTAAAGAGAATACCGCAAAAGAACAGAGTTGGGTCACCGTTTTACATTGTTATTAAAATTCACTTAGATGTCTACTAATTACAGTTTTAAATTCTGTGACTTTTAAATCCAGTCTTTGCTCTCAGATAACTGAAATCTGTTCCTAGTTTAGGCCTGCTGAGAACACAGCTATGGGTTTTACCTCAGTTCAGATCAACTTCCCCAGACCAATCTTCTAATGTCTCTTGTGTCAGAGGAAATGAACTGGTACTATATTCTTACTTATCTTCATTTTCCCTGTTTATTATACTAACCAGTCGAAGCATAACCTTTGTTGACATTTTAAAAAAAAGAAAGAAAAGCTATGCCTTTCCTTTTTCTTGAGTTATTCCAAAGCACAATTCTATTTTTACAAAACAGTACTTCTATTGATCTTGTAGAGTGGGGTCTAGAAATTCTGTGAGACAATAAAGAGACTGGACATTTTCCTAAGTTTACCTGTGTATACATCCTGGCCTGGAGTCTTTCTGCAGGCCTCAGTGTTCTCCTGATTGAAACCTGGCCCTGGTTAGGTCCACCTTGCCCAGGCCTTAGGCCCCGCGATACTGCCAGGACCTGTGGAGTGCTTAGAGGACCACGCTGCAGTGTGTGTCCCTTCCCATGTCTCTCCCCCAGCACTGAACACCATGTATTTCCCAGACAACTTTAACTATGGCTCTTCTTCGTTCCAAAGCCTAACAAACAGCAAGTTTAGGGCCTGTTAGATTAACTGTATTTTAACAGTTTTCCTATAAACCAGTTACTTCTCCATTCAAGAAACTTTATCTTACTTTATTTTTTTAACTTTATCTTATTTTAGTCAGTTAACCAAACCTCATGATCACTAGTAGAAAAATGATTCCCAAAGCAAAAACAAATTTAAAAAACTGTAAACATAAAATAAAAATTCTTTTTAGCATCAATAATGTGTCGACCACTACTTACCTACATCCAAACCCAAAATGGTAACACATCAGTGATAACGTGGAATGTAGCCTTTACTAAATGTCTAGGTAAAAAAAAAAAATGCAAGCTAGAATAAGAAAGAGGCCTTAAAAAATAAATTGAAGGTTAGAAAATTCAACATCTAGATCATAAATATTTATATAAAATCTAAGGGAAGTATAGAAACATAAAGGTCAATAATTCAAGATGAGCATGCTGACTCCATGTGGGGCAGTTCTAGGTGTTAGAAACGTAACACAGAAAGACAATGTGTGTAAATTCTCTGCAGTGTGACCTCTGAACCGATAAAGTCTCTGTCCTCAGAGAATTTAATATTCTAGAGGAGAAATTCATGTTTGAAGCAGGTGCTCATAGGACTCTGGAGATGGGGCTGCTTAGCCCAGGAACACACCAGGTCCACCTCTGCAGTACATGGCCTGCAAGAGCGGCACTGTTCCCCAGAAGGTTTGACAGGATGCTTAAGCAACTTGCAGTGAGAGAAAGGAACTGCAAGCATTACAGACAGGAAAAGGTTCTTTCAAGATCAGGAGGTCTTATCAGAGCTTTGAAGGATATTTCAGTTCTAAAACAAAATAAAGGAGAGCATGCCAGAGAGATGAGAGATAGACCAATTTAAAAAAAATAGCACAGCAATCTGAGGCCCAAACTGGCTGACATATTTGTATATCACACCTTTCTCCAAAGGACTGACTGCTTTTTATTGTAACACTAAGGAAAACATGGCAGTAGGCTTTGTCATTTATAAAAGTGTTCTAGGAATAAATTTCATTTCCCACTCATTCTATGAACACAGATTCTAGGTTTCTGACTTTTAAATAATCACTTATTCCCTGGACCAGGGATGACGAACCTTTTAGAGCTTTCAGTGACACAAAGAGGCTGCTGGTGCGTGCGTGCCATAGGCTCGCCACCCTTGGTCCAGACCAAGCTATACTGTGGCCTTCCCGATTGTTAAATCACAGAGTCAAATTTCTATTTGTATTCTCAGTAGGTTGAACATATTCTCAGTAGGTCTAAACACTCCTTTTCTATACAATAAAGATAAAGAGAAAAGCCATGGTGAAATAATTTGACAATTGCCTACTACCTTACAACTTCTCTTTGAATATGATAAACTTCCATGTGACTAGGAATAGAGTTTTTATAACATAAATGCAAGTTTTTAGCTGACTTTCCAGTCTATCTTACAAATTTTATGCAAATTGACTGTATTTTATATGTATACAAGGAGACATTTTTCTACCTAAAGAAAAGAATAAAATTTTTTAAATTACCTTTACTTCTGGTAGGGTGACTTTGATGTTTAATTCAGTATTTGTAGCTTTACTGAAGCTATGCCCTAGTTCTCAGTAATAGCCATAAAGCAATTCAAATTAAATGATACAATTATAGAAATACAATTACAAAACTGAAAAAAGCACAAAAATAGTCTGCTCTGGCAGCTTTGTGTATCAAAAGTCTTGATATTCCAATTACAAAAAATTACAAATTCTCACGTCTGTCCTTTCCTCCCGTTTCCCCTTAATGATTCAAAGCATTTTAAATTTTTCTATTTACATTCATTTCTCAATGAAAGGTTTCTCAACCTTTCAAAATGTCAGTATATTTATGAAAATGTGTTACCTATGTATGAATAATTTAAAAATCATATTTTTACTCCTCATCTTAGGATGTAAGGTCCTATGACATCTTTCCATAACTTGTAAACTTTGAGCTCAGAACGATAGACATTTAAATGTTGATTTCTTCTAAAGTGGTTTGAGGAAAAGCTTGAAAGTGTAGATCTACACTACAAGTAAGAAAGACTTCATACTTTTTATGATCATCCTCCTTCAAAACAGCTGCCAAACCACAAACTTCCATTCATCTCTACCATATTTGTGCCTGCTTTAAAAATGTAGAAATTGATAAAGATTTTGTCTAAACTTGAATGGAGACCCCAGAGCGGATCATTTCACTACTGCTTTTTCCAATGCCAGCCCAGGGAGGGAGTTTTCTCCCTACTCTCAGATAAGTTGCCATGAAAATTCGTGAATGGCTAATTCTTCAGATGTCTTTAAAATGCTCAATTTTGCATTCCACAGGTCTTGCCTTGAGGTTTTTTTTTTTCTCTCAGTCTATAGATTGAGCTCTGAAGTATTTGCCAAGGCAGACACAGAATCAACATGGCAAACTTATGCAAATTTTAAAAAGAATGTGTACGACTGAGACGAAAAAGAATGCAAAAATAGCCCATCAGCTTTCTTGCATAGAACCGCAAAAATTCTAAAATCATGATTAGACAGATACCATGAAGGTAACACAAACAGAAGAAAATACCCAGAACTAATGCCAGGAGAATGGTAAAAACTGGAGATTGCGACCATTGCTTGCTTAGATTATAGTGTGAGAATGCAGTTTACAAAAGCGTGATCACTGGAGATTGGATTGCCATTGGGTAACTCTGGGAAACACAGAGCAGACGTGGCCTTTCCAAGCCCTCTCAAGAGACAGAACTTCAGAAGATGTTCCTTCTATAGCAGTTGCCATTTGAACCCCCAAGCTCATCCCATCCAAAAAGTTCCACTAATATCAAAATTTGCTATCTGTTCTTTTTTTTGCTAAGCACATAATTCACCAAGGGGTGAGCTTGAAATATGACAATAATTCTGAGCTCCTCCCCACTGAACAAAGACGCAGCTTCTTAAAAGAAGACACTGCTGGCGAACATCTGGGAGATGAAGACCTTAAAAGTACTGCCAGGCTTCAGTCTCACCATGGCTGTCCACTCCTAGGTTCTGGTTTCCTAAAAATAGCTGTCAGGGTACAGATCCCTTTTACTCTTTGCCCTAAGAAAGCTAAAGAACTCTCCAGGGGGAGTGGCCACTTCCCTGTGAAACCCGATGCTCACAGTGAGGTCACAGCATGCCCAGAAATAAAAGAAAGCCTCAGAGACAGAGGACTCACTCAGGGACCGAGCAGCCCTCAGGCACTGAGCTTCGCCTCTGTTCTGCCATCCAGCGACTCCATCATGGTGGGTCCTGCAACAGAACGGTCTACCTGTAGAGGACACGGCTAGGGGGCAAGCGCTCATTGAGAAGAAAGGCCGAGAACAGACAGAGTGGGGAGAGAACATAAGCCAGCACAAATTGCTAGAATCTACTTTTGATTTTCGATGAACAGAAGGAATTAACTGGAGCTATTATGCCAACTGGAACAAAGCATCTTACTCCCCGGTACAGTTCTTTAGGCTGAGGGTGATGGTATCTAAATTTAGGGAAAAAATTCTGGCGACAATAGCAAAATATTAGATCTTAAGATACATCCAGTGAGTCTGGCAGGCAAAGTTAAGTAAACTGTTTCTGATGCTTAAGTATCCTATACAAGTATAATAATGTGTTGGTGAAACAGCAGGAAAATTTAAGATGCCCTTTTAAATGCAATTTTTCAAAGTTTTTTTAATTTAGTGGATCTTAGGAACACTTTAGATACTTTATTGATTATTGTATTATTCGAAGAAGCATTTGCTTTTGCATTTATCACATCATTGCCTCACTGACAAAGACACACAGAAATGGCTCCTACTTGTCTTTTGCAATAGATGTTTACATTCCTAGATTTAAGAGTATCCTAAGGCCACCTTCTTATTGCTGTGACACTTTCACAGCTTCCTAAAAGTCTCAAAGCAGAGAGCACACATCTTCTGTCAATGCATTGAAAGAATACTAGTTGTTTCTTTCTCTTTCTCTCTCGCCACTGCAGTCCTTCAGTGCTGACCAGATTGCCGGTAAGTGGTTTGAGTTTCTGTGCTGGAGATGCGGGCAGAGCCCTGCCTCGTTTCTGAGATGTCGCTCAACTCTGAGGCTTGCTCCTTGGTGACTCACCCTGTTTGTGTCCAAGCTATGCCTGAACTCGGAAAAGTAGGCTGATTTTGGAGCTTACTTGGAAGATTATTCAGGGAGTGAGCTGGATACACTTAAAAATCAGGAAGTTTTTGTTTGGTTAAAATATTCTTTGTGATTAATTTCTTTCCAACAGATCGAGTTCTCTAAGGATCAACAGGATGGTAAGTTTAAAAGCTGTAGTTGTTAATATGTGTGTACTTGTAAAGATGGTATGTGAGAGAAAACCAGCTCCCCGGAGATGAACTGAGTTCTTCCTAATTAGCTTCACTGGTGTTGCCACCCTAAATATAAATCGCTCTCTATCAGTCTAAATATAAACTTGTTGATGCTGCAGCCCTTGCTTATAATCAGTAATCAAAAATTTTAGCAAATAAAAAATAAAAACCACAAAGTAAGTCCCTATATTCACTGATTTTTTAAATAAAACAATTTGATCCAGTAGGTAGTGCCACACATACATACATCCACAAAAGGATGCCTATTTTAGAAGGCTAAATTACTAACCAAATCTCTGCAGAGAGACTTAACAAGTCTGAATTGCTCAATTTGGAAAATAAAATTGGTTATAAAACTACCCAACTACTAAATCTCTGGTGCCAGTATTTTAATGGGCACCATAGTGAGTTGTAAAATAAAAGCAAATTCAGGGACAAAGAAGGAGGAATAATTTATCGTAGGTCTGTGGAAGGAGCATTAGACATCTGACATATGGCACAGACACCCAGAGAGATGGCCGATCTTGCCAACACACCCAAAGCATTAGTAATAAAATAAAATGTGGTATGTGATCACACTGATGAGAACTTTCTTTTATAAAATGTTACTAACAAGGAGACTCAAAGTTCAAGGAGCTCTAAACAGTTTCATTAAATTTTTCCCCTTTGGGGCTTTGGAGACAACAGATCCTATACTCTGTAGGATTTTGCTTTTTTGCATCAGAAAGTGTAGGGAGGAGTGTTTCATGGAGTGAAATGGTCACAATATTTAAATGCACTGAGACAGAAGTACATCTATGGAAAGGAGGGTAAAAATGAGTTAATTATATAATGTATAAATTAGAATGTTTGTCACAAATGTATTATTATGTTTTATGACATATTTTATATGGGTGGCTAGTAAGAACCTGTTCAAATCATCCTCTCACTGAAGAATTTTATACTCTTTTGTCTATTTCTGTGCCATGTTTGCCTTATTTGACCTCAATTTAAAAAAATGAAAACTGCTGTAATACAGACTCATTTATCTACATGGTAGTTGATGGCCTTAACTATTCAATACCCTACAGTAGACTCAAGATCACTTGAGATTATACTATCAAGGGCTGTTTTTTATTATTGAAAGCAGTTAGTTACTACAATCTGAGTCAAACGCACTTTTAAATAGTAATGAGGTTACTTTATCAGCTCCTGTCCTGTCAGATATATAATTTACAGTGTGTTTATGACTGTCAAACCACTGTGGCACTGAGCAGTGAGAGGGACAAAGGGACTTATTGCTGAACATGAAACCTATTAGTTCACACGTGAAATAGGTTTTAGACACACAAATTGGGCAAACCTTGGTGTAATAGGCTGGTGCATTTTTGAGTCGGGAAAAGAACAGAAACACCACACTTTCAGAAATGAATGAGGGCTACTCTACTCTGTTTTCTTGTTTAAGATTAAAGAATGTTGTTCATGCTCATCTATTTGAATCAAAGGAAAGGAAAAAAGTAAGACAGAAGAAAACTAGAAAACTACAGGACTCTGAAGTCTAAAGCCTGTCCTATCCAATTGAGTAGCCACCAATCCCAAAAGCTATTTAAGATTAAGTTTTAGATTTGTTTGGTTTGGTTTGGTACCAGGGATGGAACTCACAACCTCAGGCTTGCCAGGCAGGCACTGATGCCACTCAGCTAAATCCCTGGCCCCTGCTATTTAAGTTTAAACTAATTAAAAATTAATAAATTTCAAAATCCATTTTCTCAGACTAGTGACATTTAAGTGTTCAAGAGCCACTTGGTTACATTTGTGAGCAGAGCACAATTCCATTATTACATAAAAGATCTAGAATAATACAATTCTAGACAACAGGTAGTCTTTACCGACAGTGTAATCTCTGTAAAAACAACTCCATTCTGTCGCCAAGGTGTGAAAACAGCATGCTAAATAAATGGGCATGGCTGTCTCCCAACCAAATGTCCTTTATACATATGCATATAAAACCAAAAAAGCAGGTAGCCCCAGGAGGTAATCGGCAGACTATGTTCCACACCTTCAAGAGAATAACTAGCCTTAGGTTACAAATCTGGAATCAAAAGATCAGTATTTTTCTAGCCTCTGCCTTTAAATCAAAAGAGTTCATGTCTGAGTGATTCCATTACAGCCCATAAAATCCCAAGTCTACATCAGCATCTGACGAGGGTAATTTTGAGCCCTCCAGCACTCTGCGCCTGAAAGCCTGGAGCCAGTAACAAGAATAGTTCGGTCTCACATGTCCTTTAGAAAGATGAAAAATAATATTTGACTGTTACACCACAGGGCCTGTAGCATGCTGTTTTAGAGTTGAGAAAGGATGTTACACCAAATCACACAGGACTTTAGCGAAAACTGGCCACACGATCTACAGCTACTTGTGAATGTAGTGTCTACTGCAGTCTTAGATTGGGGGTGAGGAAGAGTGAAAGCATTTGGCTGGGTGACTTCGCCAGACAGCCTCCTTTGAGCTGAGATCACCAAGAACCTGCAAAGAATGCTTTCAGCCCTACCCGTTCTTTCAGAACTAACATTATGAGTGTCACTGCTAATAACTCCAAAAAGCTACTATCAAGGAAATGTTTGTTATTTGGTAAGTTTAAAAGTTTCAGTTAAAGTAACTTCCCTAGACTTTAAATTCATAGTATCCCTCTTTCTGGTCTTTTTGTTACATATTTCTAAATCCTTCTTCATTGTCATTTTGAAAGACAAAACTAATGCTATCAAAACATGGTGGCAAAAAGTAACAGAAGGGGCAAATTGGGTGGTTTTGATAAAAAGAGGTAACACTTTAAAATTCATACTTCATGCATACAACACACAAATGATTTCAAGGACACCAGGGAAATCTAAATGAGATCACGGAGTCTACCACAGTGAACAGCCTGTTATAACACCATACTATAATCTTGCAAAATGTTACTGTTGGGAGAAACTGGGCAAAGTACACAAGGGGTTTCTCTGAAATATTTCTTATAATTGCATGTGAATTTACAATTCTTCCCATGCATTTCAATTTAAAATGTGTACTGACATTCTAAAGTGGGTATAACAACATGCCACAGGTGTATTATCTGAAATATAGAGAGTCTCATAGGAACTGGTCCAAATGTGTTTCTCCTTTTGAATCAGCCACACCAAAAGCCTCCTGGAGGCACACTTTACGTGCTTACATGACATAGAACTTACAGGTTTGTCTCACTTTTCTAACTTTTTCCTAGAAAATGATTTCTAGGGGAAAAAAACTTGTTAAGGGGACAGTTTAGGAAATTGTATCTCAAGAGGAGGTTTTTCTTTACAGTTTGAGAAATCTGGGTTAATCTCACATAAGACCACACTGACTGAAAACCTTTTTTATAAAATTGTATTCACCTTACTAATTATATGAGAGATTATGTGGAGACTATTAAGACTTCTCAAGACTCCAGAACCTTTTATCCCAATCCTGCTTCCCAGCAGGTGAAGGAAATATATGAAGAACTCCAGCTTTTATAGCTGATTAACAATAACACGTGCTGGAAACCAAAAATACAGCTTTAAGATAATTCCCAAAAGGAACCCCAAAAGAGTTTGCTGATATTTGTTTGAGATCAAAAAGCAGCGTGTGAAGATAACAACCTGAGTGGTTGGCGAAAGATATTAAAGACAGAAAAGAGTTTGAACTGAATCCTTGAAAGCGCTGGGGTTAATTGAGGTTCGAGGAATTAAAGAAGATTCTTTGCTCTTTGCAGAATTCAAGGAGGCGTTTCTCCTGTTTGACAGAACAGGCGACAGCAAGATCACCTTAAGCCAGGTCGGTGACGTCCTCCGGGCACTGGGCACAAATCCTACCAATGCAGAAGTCAGGAAGGTTCTGGGGAACCCTAGCAATGAAGGTAACAGCAGCAATCTTTTCAAGATCTCCAGAGATGCTGTGAGGTGTGTGTGTGTGTGCGTAGTGTGAAGTGTGTGTGTGTGTAAGACAGAGGAGACAGAGATTGAGAAGTAAATGATAAATTCTGCCTACCGGGCTCACAAGTGTGCCTCTTTGGCCGCCTGAAGCCTCAGCTTTTACCCTCATACAATAAGTTATTCTTTCTTTAATCACTTGCTAATGAAAAAAATCTATTACTAAGACTATCATTTTCATCATTGTATTTTATGCTTAGAATGTAATTGCCATGGAAATGAAGTAATATCGGATCCCACACATTTTCCAACTTCCAACCTTCAAAAGCAAACATTTTGACAAAGATGTTAAATGTGGCTAAAACACAATGCAATTTTGAATACAGTTTTGAGTGAATTAAATGGCGTACTTCTAGAGAAAATTTATTCATTGATTTAAAAAAGTGGAAATAAAGTTGTAGCGCTTTGAAATGCCTGAAAACACCTGCTGACTTTGGCAGCCTGTAACCCTTGACACCACGTCTGTAGCTGCCTTAAAAGATAATCGACTGTCTTAATTAGGAATAGACAAACTTACATCTTGAGTATTTTCTATTTCCATTCAAATTATTGAAAATTTGTAAAGCCAAAGCCAAAAGCTGCACCCAAAGTAAATCCCAGAACAACAACAACAAAAATCACTGAAATACATTAGTGGCAAAATTATGGACTTCCTTCACGTAATACAAAAATCCAATCATCACTTGAGAACAAGGAAATTGTTTTAATCCCAGTGGTTCATGGCAAAGTATAATAAACTATTGAAAATGTGACTCTAAATACAAAGGACACAAAACAGAAGTTTTCTGAAATCGATATTTGTGTTATCTTTGCCATAAAGGAAAAGAAAAAAAGGGACACTAAATAATCTCATTTTCTCCTTGATAACTAAAAATGTGGAGATCTTCTTTCATTAATAAAGGAGAACACATCTTGATTTTAAGAAGAACTTACTTCCGAATCGATCTGATGGAATTTTACTCACACTTCGTTTTCTTTGGAAGAAATTTTAAGTTAAGGCATCCAGAAAGTAGCTGAGAGTTTGAGAGGCAACAACAGCTAAATTTTATTGTTAAACGTCACTGTCTAACTTTTCAACATTCTTCTTTCACGGACTCACTCAGAACTCAAATTAACTTTTCTAGCATTGCTCCCTGTGTTCACTTCTATCCTATGAGAGAAGACCATGAAAATTTTTACTGTAGGAATATATAATTCTAACCTTTTATGTACATCTGAACAGACTACTCTGACCATGGATACGATTTACCTGGTCAGAGATGCTAAAGAAAATTCCATTTTCTCCAAGCCTGTACCTTGCAAAGGAGTCAGGAGACCATGGAATTTGACACTCACAATTTCCTCATAATCTTCTTTTATAAACTGTTTAAGTTAAAAAAAATCAAAGGCCTCACAAAGGCTCAGAACACAGTAACAAAGTTCAGTTGCTTTTCTTGTTTTTAGTATTCCCGTGTAATTTTATAGTGCTTCCCTGGGATTTGTAGAAAATTGACAATAATAAAATAATAGATAACATGTACTAAACATTCAGTTTGTCCCACTACCACACAGTTGAAAGCGAGGAACAGTGGCATGGTGGACTAGTGGACTGCTGGGTTGGTGGGTTAGTGGACTGGTGGACTGGTGAGTTGATGGTAAAAGCCTGGCTCTGAGACTCCAGAGCTCATGCTATTGCCTGTTATGAAATTTTTATAATTCGTCATTTACCATCTGAAATTTAAGCTGTATGAAGAGTCTTCAGTCATGAAGCATGAACTCTCAAGTTTAACTTGTCATTCGGAAACAGAACTATCTGATAGCTACTAACTTTCTGTAAACTGCAATTTCTTCTAGAGCTCAACGCCAAAAAAATTGAATTTGAACAGTTCCTGCCTATGATGCAGGCTATTTCCAACAACAAGGACCAGGGCACCTATGAAGACTTTGTTGAGGGTCTGCGCGTCTTTGACAAAGAAGGCAATGGCACAGTGATGGGCGCTGAGCTCCGCCACGTTCTGGCCACCCTGGGTAAGGAGAATTTATCTCGGGAACCTAGCGGGACAGAATGCATAGGAAACAGCATGACAAGAGACTTGGAATGACTACAGATTAAAAAGGAAAAAAGAATCCTCAAAACTCAATGACAATTTCAGTTGGCCTTCATTTCAATGAGTTTGTTTTAGAGAAATTATCACTTAATATATTGGCCACGAAGAGGCGAAGCATAGTAGTTCTAATAGATTGGAGTCTGGGTGACGAAAGGGTAATGTGCATTCATTCATTCATTCATTCAAAACTGATTTATGGACAGTCTCTAAGTGCCAGGGAAAGGGTTAGGAAACAGACTGTATCCTGTTTAATGATGGTTTCCAAGAGTCCATGGCTGATCACTTATGGCAGAATATTAAAAATATCATCTGGCCTTAGTTCTACAAAAGGGGCTTTGTTTCAACAGGTGAAAAGATGAAAGAGGAAGAAGTGGAAGCCCTGATGGCAGGTCAGGAAGACTCCAATGGCTGCATCAACTATGAAGGTACATCCAGGGCACACTTGGGGAATCAGCAGCTTTGCACTAGTTGGGTTATGGGGGCTTTTTTTGAACTTATTTTCTTCTTCTCTATCAATACTCAAGTTATTTATTGTGAATCCTTTGCATAGCTCTAAAGACATAATCCTGTGAGGATCCCAAAATATATATATGCATATAGATAAATAGATAAAAGATAGATTCCAGTGTGTCTGAGCAATCCCATATGTTGCTCTGCAGTTTAAAATGTATTTTCACATGTATTTTCTTGTTAGGGTTTCACAGTGTCCCTGTGAGATAGACAGGATTTGTGTCAGTGTTAAATTTAGTAGACTATTAAAGTTGTGGAAATGCCAAAGTCTTTCACTAATATCAAGCAATTATAAAAATGAGGAAGTTGGGTGCCAGAGAGATTTAGTTACCAAAGGAAAGTCAATTAATTACTGACAGGGCAGCCATTAAAACTTAGCTCACTGTGTTTGGAGGTCTTGATCCTACAAAAGTCATCTCATACCAGCTAATTATTTATATCCTACTGTCATTAAATAGCTTCACCCAAACGGTGTGAAAGCAAATCACTACCTTAAATTAAGATACAAAATATATTTGTGTGAAGTTAATTTGCAAATTTTAAAACTTCCAGCAAAATTTCACAATGTGTTATCCCTCAAGAGGACTATTCTAATCACACTGCAATAAGTCTATGTTGATAGCTTTCATTGAAATATAAGTTTTCCAAGTCTGACAGCTGAGAGAAAAAATCAAAGAAAAGCATAGAAGAAAATAGTAAAAGGAGGGGAAGAGAAAAAGTGCTCAGTCAAGCAGAAATTCACTTTGAACTTGACTGAACTTGACTTCTTTTCCTGTGAACAACTGGTCACACTGGATTGTTGCTATAAATACATGACACAGAAGAATAATTTAATAATATGGTTTGGACAAGCAGATAGTCATCCAGAAATTAAAGTCAAATCTGAACCTTGAGTTTGTCTGTTTTCTCATTCTGCATTGTCTGTATTACCCACAGCTTTTGTCAAGCACATCATGTCTGTCTAATGGAATTCCCAAGGTATCTCCCTGTTCTGTCTTTATCACACAGGCTTTTTTGATACTGCATGTTTTAAATTACACTTGATCTTAGCCAAAAGGCCGAGATGCAACCATAATTTTTAAATGAATAGCTTCACCTTATATACTGTAGATATACTGAGCATTGTTTCCTACAATTAGCATTGGCTACTATTAAATAATTCTTAATTAGGAACCAAAAATTATCAAATCCTAGAGATGCACTACTTAGAAATAGAACATATTTGTATAAATATACAAGCAAAAACATAATGAGCTTTCTGCTATCATTTTAACTGTAGGACGAGTACAGACTGAGAGTCAACTAACCAAAGACTAGTTAATTAACTGAGTTGGAATATAATATTAATAAAAGCATGGCACTAAGCTTTCTGAATAACCAAATTAACTTTTAACAATTATTGCTCTACAAAACTATTTTGTGAGAGTCCAGATTCAAACACCTCCAACCAGATTCTTAAAACTTCCATGGCGTGCTTTGACTTCTCTGAATTTCACATCCTTTTCCTCATGAATTGAACAGTTATGATCAATATCGAACTTATTTTCTAACTTCCTTTTCTCTTTTCCTTTACAGAACATTGTTTAGAAAGACTGGCTGGAATCGTACTTCAATAACACCTATGGCTGACCACCAGGTGTATGCCATCATTAGAAAAAAATAAAATATCTGGAACATTCTAGACTGAAAGACTCCCTGAATTTTTATATACCTTCAGATCTTCACTGAAATGTACTGCTATTACACCAACCAAGTATCCACTGAATAAGATATGAAGAATAAAATACTGAGAATCATAAATCCAATACCACTCTATTGTCCATCACGGGTCAACAAGCATCTTTAACCTCTAGCAATAAACAATTTTTGCCAGTCTGGAAAAAAGTTATGCTGTGTTTTTGTTTTCTTGTTTCTTGAAATTAATTTTTGAAGGGTCAACCTTTTTATTAAATGTACAGAATATTGATTTATAAACTTATAAAAAGAATCATTGTATTTTGCTTAGCAATAAAAACTGAATAATAAAATAATCGTATATTATTGAAAAAGAAAAATAGAGAACTGAAAAAAATTTTTACAGGGTCAGAGATGTTTTAATATAAGCCATTTAGGAAATACAATGTAAAAGCAGGATTTTCCAAAGTGGCATGTTATTTTTGTTTATGGTTTTATCAGTTTCACTTTAAGTAACAATCTACTAGAAAACACTAACAAGCCCTTGATCCTGCTCCCTAAAAACCTTCAAGGTTAAAATTTAAAGTGACCTTCCAGCTGTTATTTAAAAAAAATAAGAAAGAGGGAAATAGAAATCTCTCTGGGGGTGGGATTATGGATCAAACTCAAGATCTTATTTATTAATATTCTGTTTCCAGTTATATCTCCCTTCCTCTGCACATTCATGTCCCCAAATATCTTTTCAGTATTTAACACATGTAAAAATAGTAAGACTATTTGATGGAAAAATTTATAATGTAAATTTACTTGATCATCTCAGATTGCTATCACACATCACTCTTTCATTAGAACAGAATCTGAAAGTTAATATTGAATATTTAGAAGAGTGATAGTTATCTCTAACAAGAGAATTATAAAATATGGGACTATAAAATTTCATAAAATACATGCCAATCTGGAGTTTTGAAAATGGAAACAACTTTTTCTAGTTCCTGGGGTTTTAGTAAGGTCCTTGTAGCTAGTAAAAGTCACTTCAAGGGCTGGGGATTTAGCTCAGCGGCATAAGCGCCTGCCTTGCAAGCATGTGGTCGTGAGTTCGACCCTGGTACCGGTAAAAATACAAAAATACAAAAAAAAAATAATGATAATAAAAGTCACTTCAAGTCTGGTAGTCAACACTTGAAATTTAACCTACGGTCTCATAGTCAAGACAATTCTGGGACATTATGATGATTCCTTTAAGGGAAGTACATTGTGATTCCATGACCCCGAGGTCCAACTGTATCTACGACAAGGAAATGGAAATCACACACAGCACCATCCAACAGAGCCCTCTGTGAAGCTGGAAATCGAGATCTGTGCTGTCCCCTGGTAACCTACACTCCCATGTGGCTGAAAAGCACCTGAAATGAGAAAGAAATAAGAATACTTCACTTGAACTCAATTCGATTTGAATTTAAATACTCAATAATGTCATGGCTGGCATATTCAACAGCGCAGCTCTTCATGTGTTTATCCGCAGTTAGGACATCAGACCAAAATGTCACTTTTTAAATTTAAAACTTTTGAAGGTCACCATGTAGAGTAGTAGACTGGAACCAACAGTCTAATTACAAATGACCCATTTTTGTTTCAGAATATGTGGCTAAATGTCCCATCTCTCATGTTCCCTTAAAATGTTTAAATTAGAAACGTGAGATGCCTACAAAGTACCAAATTGTTTGTTTCAATCTTCATATATATAATGCTCTTTCCCTCAAGACCTTACACGACTTCTTTATTCCTGACGGGATAACACCAAGTACCCCGTCATGGAAGCTAACCTTATTAGATTACCATGTGTGAAATGCCCATAACTCAAGTGGTAGCAGGTGCAAAATAGAGTAGCGGGCGGAAGAGTGACAGTAATTTTTAACAACTACACCAGCTGGCAAAAGTGACAGGTGCCTAATTCCTCAGAATTTAAAAATAGTTTTTGAAAAGTCTACACTGCATAAGCAAGTATCTTTCAGTTTGCTCTTTAACTATTTTCATGGCATCTGTTTTATAAAATTTCATATTATGTCAAATTCTGCCTCAATATTGTCTTGGAAACCTAAATAACACACAGGAGCTCAATGTATTCTCCTTTATGGATGAAATGACTATTATTAATTAAGAAGATCAATTTGTGCTGACTTCTCAGTAGTATTTCTCAAGAAACATTTACAGGAAAGATATTGCACTGTCTCTTTGTCCAATTCTAATTACTTTTCCATAGTAGCGGATGTAACTCCAGACTTAAGTGAAGGAAGGAAGTTTTCCCTTGAATCCCAAGTCTAGAGAAAATCATGAATGCACATATCTAGTTAGTAAACTGGGTCTATAATCCCAAGGTAAAGAGAGTACAAACCGGCAAGTATCTGGAGTCCAGAATAAATCACAGCCACTCCTTATTATGAAGATCATTGAAACTGAAGAGGAGCAAAATGAAGAACTAATTCAGGCGGTGAGCCGGCCTTCATAGATGAGTCAGCACCAACCTAAGAAGGGCTGCCAGACAGCGAGGGGCAGCGGGTTCCTCCTGGGAGCCTCCCTGGACACCTCAGCCCAAGCCAGGTCTTGTTAAACGGTCCTGTTTGGCAGGAGGAAGGTCCAGCTACACTTCTCCTCGTGACCTCTCCTGGACTTCACCTGCGACCGAGGCAGCGTGGCTCTACTTTTAGATCAAGGAAAGTGTGCTCCATGCCCCAGGCCTGACTCTTTAGAGGGCCTCACTCCATCCCTGCTTCCCCAGGCACCCCACAGCCAGAAGCCTCCCAGAACCAGCGGGAAGAAGTCCTCATGGATGCTCGTGACCCTAAGACCAAGAGGAGGCTGTTACCACCTGTGCTCCATTAGTCAAGTTAGGGATGATTCTCCTGAAATGCCCCCACAGTTTCCAGGCCAGCGCTGGAAACCAAGCTGAGGAAGGCCAGGACCCTGCTTCCTGGGAAGGAAGATCAGCCAGGCATTGGAGAATTCCTCCCTGGCGCTCTGAGTTATTAGGAAGCTACATTTGTCAAGGGAACACACCAGAACAGATAAGAGTTTGACCATAACTAAATTTTAAAGTTATGGAAAGTCTTAAAAGTTGCCCACAAATACTCCTAACTTATCTGAACTCTTTAAAAACAATAGGAGATCAGGCGACCAGGAGGGATTTTAACAGCATATAAAATGTTTTTCTTTCTACCCTTGAAAAGAAAAGATTTTCTTTCCTACTATATTCTTCTAACTTGTAAAAGAGGGGGAAAAACTCATACCATTCTTGATATAGAATAAGTACAATACTATTAGTATAATAGAAAGTAATCAATCATTCTTGATAGTATGATAGAAATATAAACAGCAACCATAAAATATTTGGAGGGTTTTGTATTTTTTTAAAACTACTTTAAAGTTTCAACACATATGCATGAAGATTCACAATAATTTTTTGATGATAAGTAATGGAGTTCAATTTGAACTTTAATTCAGAAAAAAATGTTCAAGTCCCAAATATATCCTTATTGATGTTTACTTTTCCATGCTCATCTGTTAGATTTGCGTCAGTGGAATCAAAGCATTCCCCAAAGGACAGCTGCTTAGAGTCAGGCTTAGGTATGAATCCTCCTGCTGCCTCTTCTGAGCTGTCTGGCCTTCCTTGATCTTTTCAAGTTTATGTTGAATAAATGGTGTTTAAAAGGATTATTTTGTGAATTAAAACAAAGATTGTGAATTATTAAGCAAGTGGCAAGTACAAAAGCACTTTCCTTCTTTGTTTTGTTTGGGTTTTAGCTCAATGCCCTGGGTTTATATGAACGGGGCAGGGCGCTGGCTTAACTTCCTTTCCGTATTACCCATGCAAAGATGAAGCCCAAACTCTAAAGAGATCCACTCATTCATACTAGGCAAGGAAGAGCAGAGATGAGGACAGACAATGCTCTGGTCAAAAACAACTAACAGGCTGTTTTGTTCTTATTTTGCACATCTGCAGTTTGTGACATTATTTACCTATTTGCATAAGTCTCTCTCCCTGGGTATCTGGGATGCAACACTAACTCTTTCTCCCGACTTTGCTTTCTCTCCTCTCTCCTACATCTTTTTGCTCCTCAGGGTCCCGTACCCCAGCCTCTTTTCTACTTAATCCGCACACCTGCCCTGAGTAATCACAGCCTCTCCCGTGTCTCAAATGATCTGCACACACCTTATTTCCTGATCTTTATTTCTCACATGGGCTTCAAGACAGTGTCACCAATACCTTGCTGGTCATGTCCCACTGACATTTCAAATGCAAATATCCAAAACAGAACTCATAGTTTCTCCCAACTGTGTGCCACTTGGCTTTGTCCTTTACCTCAGAGCTAGCTTCACCCTCCATAAATCTGAAATTTACATCCTGTATCAGATACTGAATACAAATATAGAACATTGAAAATAAATATGATTGGGTCCAATTGTATAAGACCCTTAAGATGCACTCAGCCTTGTTTACTGCTTTCCCCAGTGTCTATTTTTTTCTCTTTGTTGTTATATCTTTAGAGCAAATTCCATACCAACTACATCAAATTTCTTATGTTCCAATTACTCATCAGCAGGAAAATAATTTTAAGGGTTTTTTTTTATTTTTCTAAACATATCATAAAACTGCACACTTAGGAAAACTAATTAAGAAGTCTCAAAATAACTTTTGCATTCTCAATCTCTCTGAAACTCTCGCCACTCTGGCTTCTTGAAAGTTTCTTTTTCCCTGACTTCTGTCTTCATGTTTGGTTTGTAATTTTCTTCCTCTTAGGTTGCCATATTTTGTCCTCAGTCATTTTTCTCCTCAATTGAAACTTTTTCATTTTCTTACCGTACAAATTCAGTGCTGGCAGCATGGATTCTAAGTGTTCATCCAGACATCTCTCTTGAGCACTAAATTTCACCATCCCATCACCTACAGATGTGTCCACTACATGTCCATGGGCATCTCAGTTCCCACACACCCAAAACCAAAGCAGTATCATCCCCAGAACCACACCCTTCCTCCCTCTGTTGGGCTCCTTATCCCACACCCATCTAGTTGCCCAAGTCACAAACTTAATCACATTCAGTGTCGCTCTCTCTCCACATCAACTGGGTCACTAATACAATAACGCCCAGGATTTAGAGCAGATTTATTTACATCGATGGGCACTGATCAGGATCATTCCCAAAACCTCAGGCCC